ATTTATGAATTGGTGTGACTTTTAACATATTAGAGATATAAACTGAACATAGCGTGCTAAATTTTACTAAAATCAGTAGTTTAGAAGAACAAACAACTTGACGCTTAGTGTTTATATATATTTGATTTACTTAAAATATAAAAATATAGAAAAAAAATAAATAAATCAATAGAAAATGAGTAATATTATATGTTTATCACATCATAGATAAAATAATCGGTAGGCATTACTTTAGAAGAACTATATAATATGGGCATTAACTTGTGGAAGAAAGAAGATTTTGATAAAATTAATAAGGGTATGATAAATGTAGTAAAATTGGGTATATGTTGTTGAATTGAGGATTTGATCAATGATAACACCAACCAATAAAGAAAATAGGACTGAAAAAGGAAAAGTATTCAGAGTCGTTAACACCATAAAAACTATTGAGAAAAGTGTATTTATAGATATAGAGCAGGCTTTTTCAACCGGTGTGCCGCGACGATGCTTAATTGCAGTCATAAAAAAATATTTCGAAAAACATAAGACGCGTAGAGCTTGAGTAACAGAGCGAAGGATACGGAAGGGCGCGGGCGGGTGAAGCGGCGTCCGCCGGCCGGCCGCTGCTTGTCCTTGTTTTGTTTCATTCATTCGTCCACTTGTCGTGCTTTCGCGCAGTCTTGTACTCGTGTCACTTGTTCTTTGTTGGTCTCGCTGCATTATATCAAACTCGCTGTGTTTAGTGTGTGTATATTTGGGTTCTAACAAGACCTTCAACATGGATAAATTCGTAACCCATAGGTCAACTGATGATCAACCGTCATCGAGTCAACCCGTCGTTAAAAAACAAAAAGTTATGAATACTAAACGGCAATACCATGAAGACTATTTAAAGTTGGGGTTTACTTGGACAGGAGACAAAGACGAACCAAACCTTCTTGTCTTGTTTGCGGCCAAAAATTATCGAATGAAGCAATGGTCCCTAGCAAATTAAAGAGACACCTCTCTACAAAACATTCTCATCTCTTGGACAAGGACTTACAGTACTTTCAACGTTTGCTGAAATCTCAAGCCCAGCAATGTACAAGTCTTACCAAGACAATGACTATATCTGACAAGTGTCAAGAGGCAAGCTATCACGTGGCGGAGCTTATAGCAAAAAAAATTAAACCACATACTATAGCAGAAAATTTAGTTTTGCCAGCTTGTCGTCAGATTGTGAAGTTTTATTTGGGGTTGAAGCTGAAAAGGAGGTGTTGAAAATTCCTCTGTCAGATAACACCATCAGCAGGCGCATAGCACACATGTCAGAAGATATTGAAGCACAAGTAATAGAAAAACTACGAATTGTTCGTATATTCGCCTTACAAGTTGAAACTTTTTTTGTTGCAAAGAACTGCCCGAAACAACAAGTTGCGAAGACATATTTAATGTTTTGGATGCATATTTGAAATCCTCTGATTTATCATGGACCGATTGTATTGGAATATGTACCGACGGAGCACCTTCAATGACTGGTTCTGTAAAAGGGTTTGTTACTTTGGTGCAAGAAAGAAATCCAAATATTGTACTGACCCAATGCTTTATTCATAGGGAAGCATTGGTATCAAAAACTCTACCGAATGATTTCAAAACTGTTTTGGAAGATGTAGTAAGGGTTATAAATTTCATTAAGAGTCGTCCGTTGAAATCTAGATTATTTAAACAAATTTGCCAAGACATGGAAAACCAACATTTCAGCTGACTTTAAATCGTTGTATGTGAAACTTGGTTAACAAGTTTTCTTAAAAATAATGTGGTTTAGTGCTAAATGTGAATACAATTTTTTTTGCCCTTGGTCTAAACCACATGACCTCAATATAATGATTTCTGATTATCTTAACCGGTCAAATTAGACCAAAAAATGAGATTGAAGTTACATAAATTCACAACAAGCTGAAAATTGGTGAGGTCGTTTAAAATATAATTATAAATAAAATTTCACAGTTCTCTATTTTTAGCCTGTATGAAAAAAATTATATTTAAGGTCAAAGATCAAAAATACGTTTTTTGCGATTTTTTATGATTTTCAGCAAAACGGTAAGTTTGAAGTTATAGAGAATTTTAAGTTACCGAGATTTGAGCTAACGAGGTCCTACTGTATAAGGTTAAATATTATATATTTACACTTTAAACATAAGATATACATAAGCTATAATTTAAGAATATTAGATAGAAATAAACCCAGTCCCTTAAGTTATACGCCATTGTGACCCTCAGAGAACATCTGTCTTCTGTTCAACAGTATGCGGGCTATTTTATACCTGCTATAACAAATGAAATACCGTCAGTCTTGAAAACTACACTCTTGTGAAAACACGTGTTTATTCTAACATATATCGTGCAATTTTGAGTTTTATAAGAAAAATGTCTAAATATTGTTTTATTTGTGCTAAACTATTAGGTAAAAGTGAAGTTACTACTGTTGAACGGGGTATGAAGACATTAATTAATGCAAGTATCGAAAGAGCTGAGCGCTGACTGACGTTTCGTGTTTAACCAAAAAGTCAGTCACGACGGCGCATTATCATGATGAAAAACGCTCGAAACGGAAAGTTGTATTTCCTATTGACCGTTTAAACCTGTGGAACGAATTAATGGTGAGCCACACCATGGTGGTGTAGATATGAGCACCATCTTGATTTTTTAATTTTTTTGGTTTCGGCTATCAAGCATCTCTTTTGCGACCTCTACTCGATGCCGTTTTCGCAAAAGATTCAGTTCTTTTGCAACGAGTCTAGTATTGACGCACTTTATACCCTCAAAACACTAGAATTAGAAAGAAAAAGTTTAAACTGACAAGTCCGAGTCCAATTTGATTAGATGATATTTAGTTCCATTACATTTTGATTCGAGTCGGCGATATTGAAAATATAAAAACTCAGCCAAAAAATATGTGTGGGAGCTAGGGTCATACGTTAACCAATTTCACTTGTTTTCGGCAGTAAACTATTGTATATTATATCCCATATTATCTGTTCACTTAATCTTGCTAAGATATCTTCCATATTGATCGATATATTCGGTATACATTTAACGGCACATTTAAATTCTTATATGAGATATATGAGGACTACGGGTAGGATTGATGTTCACTTAATTTTTTCACCAGAATTGATCTAATTTGGACAAAAAGGTTCACGGTTATTGGAAAGAGATTCTTTCTGAATATCAATAGGAAATTATTAGGAAATTATTCTATCCGAATTTTAATAATTACAGTATATTTTACAGATTGACCGATACTTTCAGTAAAAAGTTAGCCTTGCGCATTGGCTTAAACGGTTATATAATTTTTAGCCATCAGTCATAATTTGAACATATTACGAAATTGATATTTTTTCTGTGATTTCTCAATGTCTGATTAGCAATCATCTGCCAGCTAAGTTCTGGTAAACTCAACC